ATACGTCTACTCACCACTCACAGTGGTAGACACCAGGGTCTTCTTCGCTATGCACCACCTACGGATTAGAGCTGATAGCAGTGCTTCGGGGACTGGTGACTATTTCTCAAGCACACACTTTCTCCCCTTGTATATATGCAACTCATGTAATAAACACTCGATTAACCAGTTAGCTCAGAATTTTATTCCCGCCAGCCCTTACACATCTGATTCCCATACCACACTTTTGAGCGCTTATATCGGCTTTTACTAGATCCCTTGTAATATAATACCGTATATCAGCAAAACCAACCCCTGGTCGCTAGCCTACTATGTACAAATCTACCTATTCCCTACTCCATGTAATCGCTTGTCTTCATCCTAGTTGCATCAGACGCCAAGTTTTTCTTTCTTTCTATGTATATAAATGCATATTATGCCATTTCATATCCCCTCAAACTCACTATGTTTTGCAAATCTCCTCCCATCCCCTCACCTTCCCAAGCTACAAACTTCGGAATTGCCCGCTTTGGACGACCTGGTTAGTTGATGTCCACCCCAACTGGCCTATGATCTACAACTCCGGGATCACCAAGCGGACCAAGAAAACCTGCAGTCCCATATCGGCTTCGTTCCAGCTTGTTTCCTCGACCAGGCTGAAATGAATACCGCTGCTCAGTGAACTGCATACCCAAGACGAATAATCTCAAATGTTTACGTCCGTCATGGGGCTGTCCAAAAACTAAGGCATGTCAGGCCAATGATGGCACGGCACTGTCATACTCAGTTTGATAGCACACCCGCAACTGTTCCATTCCTCCCCTCAACCGTGCCCTCTTGCCTACTCGTTTCATTGACCCCAATCGACCACCATGACATTCATTCCAACCTATTGGACTACTCGTTCAAATTCAACCACCTCTGTGTCCCCATCAAACCTAACCCCTACGCCAGACCTCCCAGCAACAGAGCAACCAGTGAGTCTGCTTGTTCTCAGAGTGCACCATATTTTTGAGACTAAACTTGCCGTGTTCTCCCAATTCGAATTATCCCCTCTCCACCTCCACATATGCTTGTTATGACTCCGGTTTTCCAGTTCATGTCAACCAACTGAGTCGCTGAATTACTCGGACCACATGCCTATTGTTCCCTACCAGTTGCAAGAGAAACATATTGTTATTATTATTTAATCGAGTACCTCCCACTTTTTGTGACATTGTCCCCTTTACGCGCAGCTACCACTACCCGCAAATCCCTCAGTAATGCCCCATTCTGGCTGTAAACTCCTGATCATGCCAGACGGCATGCCACCCACAAGTTGGGAATAAACATTATCATTAATCAACTACACTGGTAAACCATTCGCGTTCATCGCAGTGGATGGCTTGGGGCCTCTGTTAGTCAAGCCAGGACATGGCACCAAAGTCTTCAAAACGAATATGACTGGGCATTCTCCGTACAGAAGGTTCAATCTCCGCGCAAAACTATGGCTCGAGGAGTGTTGACTCCCCCTGTGAATCAACGGTGAACAAGGGTAACTTTCCTTGTTTTCTGACTACTCACGAGTAACATTACTCACACCTGTTTATAATGACATCCTTTCGTTTTCTTGCTGCGCCTTCCCTCCGTTTCGTTCCTACTTAAGGTCTGTTTATCCCTCAGTAACTGATGCCAATATTTTGTTGCCCGTCTGTCATTGCCTGCAAGTTCGCCTCGATTGCACCTATTTTTTGAGCGCCCACTCCGACGGAAAAGCGTGCGTGTCGGGTGTCGAACCCGGACCCTCCGGACGGCAAGCGAACGCGCTACCGACTGCACCGACCTGACGTCCGGAACGGCTGGTTATTTTGTATTACCCATGCATCACGCCTGCCAGCCAGCCTATGCTGAGCTTTGTTTTAAACGGACGAAACCGCGTAATCTGACCTGTCGCGCGACACGAGCGGCTGCGTCGACGCCGACCGAAAGACAGTCCCTCACATTCCAAACGTACCGACTACTGCGCCGTCACGACCAACTCACTCTGTCAGATTGCCCCTATATGTATGTTTGTACATCGTTTGGTACTTACTTGTTGTTGCCCCTATAGAAATCCGTGCTGTGACAGTGACTATTTCCCGCTCCTGCTGATTGCGTCATTGTTGATTGTACGTTTGCTTAATTCATGACGCTTACCAATCCGTTTGTCTGTAGAACCAGTTCTTACCAGTCTTCAATATATAATCTGCTGCCCCACGTCCGTCTGCTTCTATTGACTACTGGCTGCGAACTGCGCATAATCCAATAGTCGCAACCGTCCTGTGAGATCCCTAACCGTCCGGATCCTACAAAGTTAATCAACATTATCGCAGTTTATCAACAGTCGCAGAGTCGATCAATATCGCACAGTTACTCTGTAACCCAACACAGAGGACGTTTTGCCATGTCTGACGAACATTCCGCCGACCTTCCTCCACTCGATTACTTCCCCCTGTCGCTCGAGCAAGAGCTCCCTATATGTCTGAAAGGCAGAGCTGCATGGCTGTAAAAGGAGATGGCCAATATCCGTCGATAAATGGCTAGCCTCGTCTGTCTGCTCCTATTGACCACTAGCTGCAAACTGCGTACAATCTAATAGTCGGAATCCTCCTGTGGGATCCTTAACCGTCCGGATATTACAATTAGTTTGTTGTGACTAAACGATACATCTCGAGACGCCACATGGCAACAGATAGATGAGACAGACTGGTGCACCACATTCGTTTTCTTAAAACATCTTAAAAGAGATTCAGGTGGTTTCCTGGAAAGTGTTCTGGCAAAAAACAAATTGTTATGTAGACACGTTTATTCCCCTAATTTACTGCATATTGTTAAACCAAGCATGCGCACTTTCACGTTTGGTTTACTTGGTGGTGAATATTGACGCAATGCATTTTTCGTTCAATCGTGGAGATAATGACGAAACGTACGTATCATACAAGAATCTTGAGATGACGGCGATAAATCGGCACCGACTTTAGCAGGCATTTGCGAATAGCAATTTACCGCAACGGTCGATTGAAAACACAGCTGAAGAATCTGACGGACGATTGCCTAGGCTCTTCACAACTTCACTGCGACGCTGGGTATTGATCGTCAACCAAATTAGTTAAACGCGTAACCGCTGTAAGTCAAATCTGTCAGTGGAACATTCAAAACAAGCACCACTCCAGACCTCTACCGTGAAAACAGGAACTTAGTATTTAAATACACGAGACTACCGCAGAAATAAGCCGACCGCGTTCCTTTTGAAAGACAGTAAAAAGGAACCCACGTGCAACCTGTTCTTTACGGAAGAGGACGTTCGTCAACCCTTGCACAACATCAACCCGTTCTGCTCGTTGGAGCCAGACGAGTTCCATTCAAGGATCCTGAAGGACACGACGTTCGCACTGGCAAAATCTGTCTACTTGGAGTTTCGTCAATCGTTTGACGAGGACAACCTTTACACTGCTTGCAAGGAAGAGATTGTTAAGCCAATCTACAACCAACTATCGCTCGGAAGCTACAAACCTATTAAGCTCGCTAGCATGTTGTTCAAGTTATTGGGACGTATTCTGAGGCAAACCATCCTAGATCACCTTACTAGCGGCAATCTGATATCCCTCGTTCAACATGGATTTCTTCCAAAAAGGTTTTTACATGACGAACATGCGAGTACTTACAGATATTCGGACCCGAGCTAAGAACGACGGACTCGTATCGGGTGCCCTATTTCTCGGCTTTTTAGAAGCATTCGGTTGAATCCCACACGTAACTTTGCTCCACACAATGGAGTCTTGCGGGATTCAACGGAAAATTTCACACTGGATTAAGGCGTACCTATCAGACAGAATATTCTGAGCGAATGTACACATGACCTGGAATTCTCCAGTGCCGGTCTCCATTGAAGTTCCCTAAGGCTTTGTTTAGGGACCACTAATGTCACCGACCTTCCAGATGGGCTTGCAAATTCATGTCTACTTTTTGCGGACGATTGGGAATCCTGGAGTTCCAATTCCACTGCCCTCCAAATGGATGTAGGCGCTGCAAATTTGTGGTCGTATGACAGGCCCTTCTTCCGAATGACTGAAAGTGCGTCCATACTTAATTCAGAGGGACTCAACGAGTGCCTCTGCCGTGCATGGTGGGAATGGATCAGGGGACATCAAGAGCATAGATGCCAAAGAATATTTGGGTATGTGGCTCCCTTCAAGCATGTCATTCTCACTGCACCATGAGTAATCGACCCAAAGGGCATTCGCCATTCTACGGATGGTTCAGCGCACCCTCTCCAGTGTTACTCGCATGGACTTCCAACTACTCTATGGGGCCTACGTCAGACCGCTTCTTGAATGCGCCAACCATGTTGTCTACTCAGGATGGACAAGGGACGCACCCCTCATTATACGAAAATGGTTGCCGGCCTTAATTCCGTGGACTATGAAGCGCTTCTCGTGGTGCATGACCTCGTCCCCCAATAGTATTGTCGCCTAGCGAGAGACTTAATTCATATTTTCGCCCTGATTGAACAAGGTTTTAGTCAACAGGTTTTTCAACGCTGACCCAGAAAACACACAGTGAGGACACAGTAAGATTTTCAAGCTCAGAGAGGATACGTTTGTTAAGGGAAATTTTTTCATATTTATGATGTTTGGTGTGTGGAATAAACCTCGACGGTACATAGTTAAAATCACTATCAGACACTTATTTGTGCGAGTCCTCGCACTGGCAAGCATACTGCCCGCGCTGAGGAACCAAAGAACAACGCTATATCCTTTTTGCTTATGCCATTCAAGTGAATAGCGGCCGTTGGACCACAATAGTTAAATCAACCCGAGAAGCTTCAGTGAAAGCCTCGATTCAGTGCGTCAATCATTGAATCCTTGGATTGTTTTAACCAGGCAATATTTGGGGAGTGCATGTGTCGCGCGACGATGTTTTTTTCGACAATGGTTTTCGTTCTCGCGTTGGACAATGAATGAGAAAAGATGTTCTGTAAAAGGGCTGTCAGCAATTGAGATATGAGTGCACATCACCGATATAAAAAAAGACCAAGGGTAACTTTGAAGTTAGCAGTTGGTGTAGTTTTTGTCCCGTAGTATGAAACGGAAACGGATAGCAGCAGTGACATTTCGAACAGCTGCTTAGCAATATGGAAAGCAATAGAAGATAACTTCAGCAACCTGATAAACCCGGAAATATATGATTCAGATGAAGTAAGGTGCTGGTACGTATTGCAAGTTATGTAGCAGGACACCTATGCGTGTTTCCATGGTTCGACTGACCGACGAGATGCAGGAGATTCAGCGATAGAATATTGTATTCTTCTGGCAGAGGACTTCATTTCGTGGATCAAAAAATTTAATGAGAGGCGTGAATATGCTTTCACATCTCGTATCCAGAAGTACACTACCTCGGTAAGTTCCGTCCGATCATTTCTGCTCATGTAATTGTAGTGGTCTGGCTACCCAATAAATTAGTTTACCAGGAGTGTGTGGCAAAGAAATAAAAACAATAACGCTAGGTCGGGTATACAAAAATAAAGAGGCCAGATGGAACAGACTCACTAAAAATTGTCATCTTTAAAATATTTCGTCGTTGGCCCACGTCAGCGATTAAACAATAATCCAATTATGTTGGTCCAGAGGTCTTCTTCTGAACAGTTCCCACATATAATAGATTCCGATGATGGTCTGAAGGGTTTTGGTACCAGAGTTAGTACATGAGACTCGCGAATGACCGCTGTAAGCGCGAGCGAAATCATAAGAGAGAGTCGAAGCACGTGACCACGCCTGTATTCTGTTAAATTGTACATTTGCGCGTTTTCGTAGTTTTTCGTATTCAAACAAAAAACGATTATGCAATTGATGACATACGTAGTGCTATAATGGAAGTAAAATAAAGGTACAAAACGCCACATAATTCACTACAAATTTTGGGCGTCGACAAGCAGGCTTGGCAGGGCCTGTAGGGAATCAAGCTGGTGGTTAACCGAGAAGTTACAACGTGATGGGGAAATTATAGAAGTTGTTACATAATGGGCTGACTGACGATTTTTCATGCGAAGATTCTTGTGACACTTGACAGGGCACCACTGAATTTAGTTCAACGAGCGCAGCGACGGAATGTCTATACTTTTTGAGCGCCTTTCCTTAAAAGTGTTACAGAGAGCTCAAATTCGCTGAACCTAACAAACGTTTAGTGTGATGCGGATGATGACGAACATTTGAGCTAGTCAGGCAAGTGCTCAGTAGATGAAACATTTCAAAAAACAGCTGCTCCAAAAACATATCACCTGTTTGGAGCCCTGTGGAGTCCAGTAACTTTAAAAAATGTGGCACATAACTGAGAAGGCAAAACAACCTCTTTGGATGCCTTTAAAATTAATGACCAACGGAGAAGAACAACCGGGTTTTGGAGGTTTAAACAACTCACCAACCAGTTGACGACAAATCGGAAATCTGGACCACATATAATGATATCTGGCACAATTTGACTAACACATCTTCTTGGAGAAAAACATCGGGGTCACAACCTTGGTAGCTATAGAAAAAAATCTACAAGCTACAGTTTGCTTCTGTGGTTAAAATGGACAACCTTAAATTGTTTTGTTAAGACATAGGGGGCAAACAGACGCCTTCTCACAATGGTGAACGTCAACAAAATTAAACATACGTGCGCATGAGAAGGTGATACAATTCTCGGTTACACTTACAAAAGTCTTTTTGTTCGTAAGCCTTCTATTTAGGAAGTATTGTGGGGGAACGACGCCCGGAGCTTTGAAATATCATATTCAGCAGACACTGAACGTCTTTAGACTCAGTGCTTAGCCGCATAATTGCGTGCTGTTTAAAGTACCGATTCAACGGTAGCGGTAGAAGCACTCTGATCTGCAATTGATTGTGTACAGCAGGGTAAGACTAAAGTGTTATCAGACATTTAGTGGTTGGAAAAGAATTGTGCTGGTTAGTAAGACACTTTGCATTATGTAGTCGAATCAAGTAACCACCTGACTTAACAAAGATTAAATCACAGTCACAAAGAAAAAGATTTAACGGTATCATCTGCGTAGAAAAATTTGCTATTTGTGACCTCAAGATCAGCAAAAACCTGCCAGTGTATCAAATATAGCTTAAGGTACTGAGTTTGTGTATGACCAGGTAGGGACGCACCAAGAAGATTGTTCGATGAAAACTTCAGGCAAATGAAGTTGTAGGTCAGTATTTTCGAATCATTTGTGGCGTTCGTTCTCCGGAATGTCAGTCTTGGAATATCAAATTTGATTAAAACACATTGAAAAATTTGTTTTCTATATTTGATAAGTAAATAAAATATATGACTCCACTCAGATTCTGTTGGAGGAAAATGATCATTTTTATTATTATAACAGGTTTTGTAATGCATACATTTGTCTTGAAAATCTTGAATTTGAACAATTTTAATTGCAAGCATAAAATGCTGTCTCTTGAAGACTACCTTACCAAAAGACGTTTGGAAGTTGTGTTTATTTTTTCCTCAAAAACACGCATGGTTTTTGGCAAAGATGTTTTTGAGGATCACATAATGTCCAGTGTTAGCGGGAATATTCGTTCATCCTGATTTTAAAGCCAATTTTATCTTGGTTGAAAATTTACAATCAGTCAGTGTAAAACTTCTGCAGCATTTGAATTGTCTATAAAACTTCCGCATGCTTCCAGCCTCCGAAGAATTGAATCAAGAAGCGTCAAAACCTAACGCCCAAATTACAGAAGTCAGCTCAGACCTTCCCATACTCTTCATAGGGAACAGACTAAGTATTCTGTCACAACGATCGTACGCTGGTTACGCATATACGTTTCTGCTTTATTTACCAGAGTAACATAACCAAAGACAGTGTTAAACTTTGCCATATAAAAGCGCACGAATGACATTACACCAGTTGATAACAATATTTTTTGCATTTAAATTACCAAACTCTTTGTGCGAATTAATAAATTGTAAAACCATCAATGAGTCCAAAGTCGTGCTTACTGGTCAAGGTATCACAAACCAAACTCTACAACTCATTTTTGACACGTAATCTTGGGGAATGTTCCTTATTAGCTAGTGGTAAAAATCCAAATTTCAAATAACTGTTTTGGACAGTTGGCCGTGATTGGTGGTTGCAGTTGCTGCACTGAAAGACTTTGATAGATAACAAGTAAACAGTAAATGTCCAACAAAGGCAGTTATTCAAAAGACCAAAAACATCACAATTCTCCTCTGCTTTAATTTTGTGCATCTATATCTTTCTCATTGACATCGCATCTTATTTAGTATATGCAGTTAGAAGGACATGCTTTTCAAAGGCTGCGTTGATGTCAGAAGCAATGAGAGTAAGCAGCCACAATTTATTCCACGTCGCACAACCTGCTGGTGGGATCCCTTATCAAAGCACTCTCTAAAGTTAAAAAGACCCATGTCAAGTTCAAACAACGAAAGACTTCGAAAACTACATATTTCACACGCCTATGGAAGAAACATTGAGCTGTACCTGCTACACCACTACGGTATTTTTTCTACGATATTCATCGAATAGGAACAACTGAAAACATCCGCATTCTTAGCCACCAGGTTTTACATAGCAGTGTATTGAAAGCAAATTATTGCGTTATAAGTTGGTTCTTGTACAAATGATGGTTGTTATTGGCAACGCATTGCGTGAAAGTGATGATTGCACATCACTAGTTACTGTAGCATTTCATTTTCGAGTGGGTATTTGTCTAGCACCTTGGTCAGCGTGAGAAAAAAGTTACCTTCATTGAAGGTCCTTCGAGGGGATTTTTGTGAATATTTCTTAAAAACGTAGGCTGGTCAGATCCCTGAGACTTTGTTCAAAAATAACACTTCTACATGAGAATTCAATGAAAAATCACATTCGAATGCAAAATAATAAAAATGGCGTACAAAATAGCTAGTTGGGCTTCACTTTTTGTCGGCTTTATGCAAATGGTCAGTGAACACTAGATAACGGAATCAAAATTCACACGCTATGTTTGCGTTGGCAGAATAAAAAAGTACTGGCTTCAAGGAGACAAGCCTCACTACAGGCTTCGTTCAACATAATGTGCGCCGTACACAAGACACACCACACGAAAGTGCTGCGATTTTTGAGCGGTTACACGCGGAGATAAACACAATCGCACAGGGGCAGCCGTGAGCTCATTTCTAGACTAAAGGTTTAAACAACAGAGAGGATACTAAGTGTGATACACCGTCGGGTAAGAAGAAAGCATATGAGTAGACTTAAACTTACCTAACCAATAAAACTGTCCACACCAGACGCATGTTTGTTGGGATTTTAGACTAAACATCATGGATATGCTCACATGCAGAGACATTATCGCATTACTTTGTCCTCACAAAAGCTTACTAAGGAAGCATCTCAAAGAAATAAGCGATTTTACTAAATTAAGGTACTTTGCGTTTTAAATTGCATCAAGGGCATTTCTTTTTTTGGGTAACCAGCCTAAAATTCTACGTTTGCAAGTTTGCATTGCAATTCCATCGCATTGTTAGATTCTTCATTAATCAAGTAAAAAATGCCCAACGTCTGCCCTGTTGCATTCAAGCATGGACTAAACCATCGTACTGGTAATTAGTAAATTTATAGGTAATTTGGCCCTACTTTTTCCCTAGGTGGGGGAAGACGGATCATGCTCTGCATCCACGAAAAGAGTAGACACACTGGAAAATGCGATCACTAGATGACCAAAATTTTGGCCTGTAATACAAAAGTTTGGTGATTTTCTTTTAGTTCCTCTAAGAAGTTGCTTGTTCTTAGCCTTGTGAAATAATATTCCCTTCAAAAGGATTTAAAATGTCAAAAGGTTTCAAGTGCATACTTACTGTCTATCATCAAAATGGAGCACAGTTAAAAAGACGAAATTCAACAAGGGCTTACCCGATAAATGCTCTTGTGTTCAAGGGAAGGTGGTCCGTATGGAATACTGCCTATTCTCGGTTCTGAGAAATATACACTCACCTTGTTTGTCGGACATGGCGAACATATTGCGGGAGTAATAATTTTACTTGGAATACAAAGAATAAGCCCATTTGGTTGTCTTTCGCGTTCAATAAATTGAAGCGCGTTGGACTGTATTTTTCCTTTGGATAAGGCTTCTGCCGTTTCCCTGGATGGGGACCCAGAGACGAGCCACATCAATGGCTAGAGACATTGTCAGACATGGCCCAGTCGCGCCCTCAATGGCGCTCGTGCATCCAAGCTATTGCTCCAATGCATAACTCCTTTTCCAACCCCCCCCACTAACAGTGCTGGATTTATGCACCCATTACTCACACCCGCTTGCAATGCACAGCTACCTACCCCTCCCCTCAAATCATCGGTGAACGAAACTGCGGCAGCCACAACCACTTTACGACGAGTACGCGGTTAGTA